TCTTTCTCCGGTTTGTGCAATCCTCTGAATTTGCGCCTGTATGCCTCCGGAGTAATGGCACATCTTTCCAGTATGGCTCTTTTTACCTTCGCATAATCTTTGCTGTCCTCTCTGGGTACAGCGCGATAGGCTTCTGCTGCCTGACCTGACAGTTTGCCTGCCAGTAACGGCACCCATACTGTCTGTTCCAAGTCATGTAAGTCACATAGCCTTTCAAAATCTTGCAAATATCCATCAATCTCATCCTTCTCCTCACAAAACATTTTAAAGGCATGGTATGGGATTTTGGGTTTTACCTGGCCGTAGACTGAGGCAGTAATGGATTCTGCCCTGGACGGTGTCTCCTGTGGACGGTGTGCCATCACATACTCCTGCACATCCGCCATCAGCACGGTCAATATTTCCAGGGGTACTGGCTGCGGCAGAAACTCCATCCTGGTTCGCATCTCCCTTTGGTATGGGGTTTCCTCCATGGCTGGTGGGGGTGTAATGCTGTGAGCTCTGTCTCCCTCCATCAGTTACATAGAAACATAGAAATATAGAATGTGACGGCAGATAAGAACCATTTGGCCCATCTAGTCTGCCCAATTTTTTATTTTTTTTTATAAAAGAAAGATTTATTCATAGTACTTAACCTGAATATACAAAGTAGTGTTCGAGCATCAACTAATGAGGTATAGTTTGTATAACCTAGTCATAAAATGGTATGGAGACTAACCCTCAATGCCTCAAAATTTCAGCAGAATAACACACTTTGACAGCACATTAGAGATAGAGAAATTTACACATTGAACCTTGCAATTTTCAAACTTTGCCTGCACCACAACTATATTCTCAACAGCAACAAATTTGAATCCAAAGATCTATACAGAATGCCCCAGGTAAGGTTATTCCCTGGCTAAATAAGACCCACATCTTTGGCCTTCATTGCATATGAACTTTCCTATCCTAACACCATTATATTACAGGAAGGTAGCTTTACTTTAGAATACACACGGCTGCACTAGCATGAGTGCCCTGTGTTTCAAAGATGTACAAAAGCAAAGCTAAACCACCATAAAACAAAAGTTAAGATCTTTTATTGTAGCAGTCAAACCAGTACAAACAAGCACCAATAAATAACATTTTACAAAAAAACCTTAGCTATCTTGTTGTGATGTTACAGGTCTCTAGTGCATGTGGGTTTTACATTATATAAAAAGTCGTTCTGTAAAATGTACAGATATAAAGCACATTCTCTACAATTTAAAGTCAACCATGTCACTTAAGCTATAAAATGTCTGGAAAGGGATTTAGGCAGATTCTTTAACTTCTGTGGATTCTCCATTTTCTGTTTTTTGCTTTTTAGTTTCCGTTTTTGTTTCAGATTCCTCCTCATCCTCTACTGGGCGCTTTACAGGATGGTCATCTTTTTCAGTCTTTTCTGCTTTACCTTTCTCCTCCTCCTCCTCTTCTTCTTCATCTTCACCCTCTACTTCATCCTCCTCTTCAGGGTCTTCTGTGTTTTCCTCACTGTGGTCTGCACCATTTCCCTCTGTTCCATTAGATGGAGCATCTCCTTTTCCATTCTCAGCCTTCTCTGCTTTCTCTACTTTCTCTTCTACAACTTCTTTCTTTTCCTTAAGATCCTTGGCAACGGGGACCTCAGTGCTGGTGGTGTCAACGACATCTGCCATCTTCGTGAGAGAAAGAGAGGGTTCCTAGAGCTGGAGAATTGAATAAAGGGGCTTCCCGTCTGAAGGGGAGAGAGAATAATACACAGGAGGATGGAGGAGGCAGACAGACGGTGTTCGGCGATCAGCACTGCTTTATACTTGTTGCTGGCTATCTTTCCCCTGGCTTCCAGCAGTTCCTTTAGTGTCTGCCTTTTTAATGCAGTGTAATCCGTCCCCATTCACTTTTCTCTTTCGGTTGTCTGCTGCATACGAATTGCCATTCCCTTTTCTGGTTCGGTAGTTTTTCTAATGGCGCTTTTCGGCTGTAAGGTTGGATCTCGTCGATTTCCACCAATTGTAGCGGAGCGGCAATATTAAATCCCATGAACTCCACTGGTAAAGAAGGTAATCCACAGTCAAGCGCTGAAAAGTAGGGCAATATCCCAAATCCCCCAGTAACCGGGCGAAACACAGTTCTGGGAGTCAACTGAGGTTTTTATTCACAGCATCCAGTATTTATGCAAGTCCTCATGCAAGGGGTTTCCCTACTGACATAGCAGGGGTAACACAGTAGGGGACTACATGTGGGACTTAACATTCAGACCTTTTCTCCCATCAGGCACTGCTGGACGAGAGGGATACTCCCACTAGAATATACCATTAAGTGGATTAGCCCTCCGTGCAGCAGAACCGACAATTCACATTAAAATCTATAACTTTTACAATACTTGGTAGATTTAAACGAATGGACGTTCGGCAGATAGCTGAGGTCTGAGCGCACCTTTCGTAAGAATACCGCTCAGATCCCAGCTAAAACAACCGCACAAAATACACTTTGCCCATGAGTTCACCTGAAACTACCGAACACCGATGGGAAACCGTAATAGGGGAATACCGGAGCTCCCGAACAGCCTGGAAGTCCAGCGGGGTTCGCTCCGTTGAGTAGCCGATTTCGGCTCCACGCGCTCGACGACCAAACCCCGCTGGTAAGACAAAGGATCCAAGACGGACTACCACGCGTGGTCGGTAGACGAACGACAGCCACCTAGGAATGCCTTTAATTACCGATTGCAACACGTCCCTCTGTGTGTGGGCATTTAGGGCATATCTCATTCGGTTTTCAGCTTTCGGCTGCTAGCATACGAATGCAATATACACATACAGTAATACACATGTTACAGCCAAGTTACACCAGACAGTACAAGGATTATTATAGGCAACCTTTTCTGTGCATAGTCCAGAATATTATAAGTGTCTAGGTTTGCCACACTGTATTCCAATCTGTTTTTTTTTTTTTTTTTTAAAAGGTCTTTGTGTTCAAGGTGCCTCTTTCCACATATAAGGTTAAATCTAGAGAATCTATGGTTTCTTGATGGATAGTGGAGATGAATTTTAAATTATAATCATTCAGATTAATAGTTCCAATGAAAGTATTGGAACTATTATAAGAACAAATTAGAAGAACATCATCTATATAGCGTCGCCAGAAGACGAGACTCCCTCCGAGACAGGGTCCCAACCAGATACATGAAGGTTTCCAGCGGGATTCATAGTTGGCAAAATTCGGGGCGACTCTTGTCCCCATGGCGACACCACACAGCTGAAGGAAAAAAGAAGAATCAAACCAAAAGAAATTTCTGGTCAAAACAAACACTGTAAAACTACTTTTTTTTTTTTATTCTTTTTTTTTTACAAGCATGAGAGTAACAGGCAATCTAGCTATGCCACAACAGCAAAAGTAAGACAAGTGTTGACATTAAGCTTAACAGTGTAGGCATATATGCAGAACTGCGCACATTTTTTTTTTTTTTTTTTTAAATTAAGAGTGGTGCACGGTTAAAACATAGATACAGTATAATAAAGATAACATCAAGATCATATAGTTTGTACCAAATAGACAGTTATCACTGGGTTAATACACTGTGATCAAAAACACAGTGCACGCTTAGCTAGAATCAATCCAGCAAAAAGTGCAGAGAAGAAGGGTTACAGGGGTACAAAAAGGCCTAACCCTTCACTTTTAAACATACAGAAAATACAGAAATGAGGGGGAAATACCCCTTCAAAAGAAGGGGGAAGATTAATTTATATTTTGTAATGATTGCACATTCTACTTTAACATGCACTATGCGCAAAGTTGTTATGTAATGTGAGATGTCACTAAATTATACAGGGAAAGCTAGTTCCGATTTAGCTCCCCCCTTTCTGTTATACAGAACTATATGATACGCATGCGCATCATTTTAGATTATAAGCATGCGCATCCACCGGCAGAGCATTACTGTCGGAGCAAAATTATGCTATACGCATGCGTGACGCGCATGTGCCTCGTTTGGTAGGGCGCCGGTGTTTGAGACCTCCCGCCGGGTGACTTATCTTGTACAAGTTGGAACACTTCTTTCTATGCTCCTCTATGTTCAGTTATTGCAGTCTGGTGTATTTTAACATTTGGATTTTGGATTTTTTTTCAATAAAACTTTATTATTTTTACTCTGTTTGATACACATATATTAGCAAACTTATCTATATTGCCTTAGTAGGGGTACTAGCTTTGAGGGGTTTCGTCTTCCCCCTTCTTTTGAAGGGGTATTTCCCCCTCATTTCTGTATTTTCTGTAATATACTGTGATGTAGGCATAAAAGTTATAGCGTAAGAACTGAGTAATACCACAGCATCTATTGTACGACAAGCGGTGTGGGATTTTATATCTGCTGTCTCTTGTAGAGATCTTGCTATTTAGGGCTGCAATTGCTGCAGTGATTATATGTATGGCCTGGAGAGTGTTGCTTTAGAATTGAAATCAATTAAAGGCTCAGACAACAGGTCAAAATATCACACAAGAAAAAAAGACAGTAGTGTCACATGAATTCAGCTGGGTGGCAGCAGAGCTATATGCCCGGTGGTGAAGGCTCTCTGTCAGTCAGTGTAAGGGTTTACACCTCCACTGTCTTGTTCTGTCAGGGGGTGAGTCGGGCTAGGCTAGGAGGTGTGGGGAGGGCCCCTGCCTATCAGTTTGGGTGTGGGTGGAGTCTTGTCCATAGCATTGCTGCGCATTGGGCCTAACGTACAGTACAGCTTGTTAACATGAAGTGCAAATCAAAAGAAAGTGAAAACATAGAAATAGAAACATAAAAATAGAAACAACTTCAAGCCACATTTGTTTGCTCAAGAAATCAGGGCATTCTTAGTGAGCCCAAGAGTCTCGGGTGCTCAGGTGTTACTGGAATTCTCCTGAAAATAAAAGTGTAAAGGTTGAGTCCAAAGTAAACCTACGGAACTTCGAACCACAGTTGATGTATGTCTTTAGGCCAGTTAGGAAGATAGTGGGGTTGTAATTCCCAAATGTCAGGATGTGGTTGCCACGTAAACCTCTGTTTTTCTTCCTTGTGGCACAAACGGTGTAATCCTTTCTGGGTCCCAGAGGTGGGCCATGGTGGAGTTTTCTGGATGCCTTGAAGGAGTTAGGGAGTCCTCTAGCAGGGCGAGTGTTAATAGGAGCGCCTCCGCTCCCTGCAGATCTGTTACTTTGTAGGTCAAGTTGGACTTGCAGAGCCCTTGGTGGGTGGCTGGATGCCGTATGTATTCTATGCCGCTCTTCCTCAAAAGCGCCGTGAATGGTTTGAGGGACCACCTCCATTTTAGGGGGTCCCCGGAATGGTCAGCATTGAAGGTTAGGGCTGTATTTTCAAAAGCATATGGTGTTTTTCCTTTGAGGGTTGCGAGGATCGCCGCCTTATCAGTGCCAGTGCGGAATTTCACCACAATATCTCTTGAGGCTGAGGCTGGAGCTCTTCGCCGTTTGGGGACCAGGATATCATCGGGGATGCCTCTTATTTTCATGTTGTTGCGGCGTCTGAGGTCTTCAAGAGCTGCTGGTCTGTGGTCTCTTGGTGTGTTTTTAGCACTTGCACTTCTGTTTAGAGTTCCTTTATGACTTGTGCCTGCTTGTCTGAAGAGGCCTCCAATATCCCAATGCAGCCCACCAGGCCTGTCAAGTCCGTGCGGAGCTGGACTACATTGGCCTGCAGTACTCTCTGTAAGTCACCTACCATGGATCACAGTGTCTCTGTGGTGACTGGGTCGGGAGGCCCCTTTTTCGGGGTTGACTGAGTTAATGGAGCAAACATACCGCCAGTGCAGTCATCCAGGTTCAGGTCGTCCAAGGAGTCTGTGTATTCAGCCAGGCTGGCGGCCATTTTGGGCCCATGTGCCCCTTGCGCCTGCCGGAATAAGTTGCCGGTATGGGCCCCATTTTGGGATTATCCGTTCTTTGTTTTTTGGTTTTTCTCCCCATATCCCCTGTGGGTCCATGGAGTACCTTTGCAGCACTTTGTTTAGTTGGAAAACAGGTTTATAAGCAGTATGTACAGAGAGCCCATCTGTGTGCGTCCGTCTCGTTTTCTTGCTAGGCTCCGCCCCTTTGTAACATGACTTTTTAATGCCTATTTCAAAACAATTTATGAATATTTTTTAATCTAGACCAATCTTTTACTTTGAACATTTGAAGTTGATCACTTCCACTGCAACACTCTTATCTATTATTCTACTTACCTCTTCATAGAATGCAATTAAAGGGACTCGGCAGCGCCAGAAAAACATATCCGTTTTCCTGACACTACAGAATCCTGCAGTGCCCCTCTCCCTCCCACCACCAATCCCATGTTGCTGAAGTGGTTAAAACCCATTCAGTGACTTACCTGAATCCAGTGCTAATGTCCCTCAGCGCTGAGTTAGGCTCAACCCACGCTACTCCAACAGGGCAGACCTAATGCACATGCGTGGCAATGGCCGTGCGCTCGCATTAGACCTATCCATAGTAAATGTTTATTGAATGCTTTCCTATGGGGATTCCGGCAGCGCTGGAGGTCTTCATGCATAGCGTGAGGACGTCCAGCGTAGTTTAAAACACTTTTCGTGTTCTAAGAACACGGAATTCCCTCTAGTGTCTGATAGACAGCCACTAGAGGAGGACTTAACCCTGCAAGGTAATTATTGCAGTTTATAAAAACTACAATAATTACACTTGCAGGGTTAAGGGTGGGGGGGAGCTGGCATCCAGACCACTCCAATGGGCAGAAGTGGTCTGGGTGCTTGGAGTGCCCCTTTGAGTTAAACATGACCTATGCTTCATAAAACCATGCGGATGTTTCCTATAATTTCCCCCCCCCCAATGAATTCCTGAAATATATCCCTGAGAACCCCTTCAAATACTTTCCCAAGACATAGAGGTACAGCTCACAGGTCTATTATTTCCCATGCAAAAATGTTGTCATTTGTAAATATAAGAACCATATCTGCCTTCCTTGAATCCCCTGGTACAATTCTTGAAAGAAAAGAATCCTGAAAGATTAAAAACATTAATTAGCTCCTTAAGTAGTAATGGGTGAATACTTTCAGGTCCTGGGGATTTGTCTACATTAACTTTCTTTAGTTATATCGCACCTTGTTTTGAATAATTAAATCACAAATTTTTATGAACATTTTATGCAGGAATCATTTGCATGTATCGGACTATAGGTTCCTCCATAATATATACTCAGAAAAAAAAGGAAAACCATGAAAAGGAAAATATTTTATATAACATAATCAACTTTAATTTCAGTGTACCTGCAATTTAATTATTTTTTTATTTTTTAGAATTCATGTACTTAAAAAAAATATGGTTGTTTTTTTTTCTCTTAGGCTATCACTTTCCCATGTTCTAGTTTAGGCCATCTAATCACATTTTTTCATGCATTATTGGTTTCCTTATATCTTATATAGGATGCTTTGGATTTGTCTGATTTAAATGTCCTTTTCTTTTTAATTTCTTGGATTAATTTCTTTTAATTCCTTTCACCTGTTATACACTGTACAGAATTCATCTATATTTTCTTGAAGGCATGCTCTATGTTACTCATAGCATTCTAATACAAACCTTATACCTTAGTGCAAATCATTTTACGGAAGAACACATTTAATTAACACATTTTTATATTGCATCTTGAAAGAAGTGTCTAGCGGAGTTCCCTGTACCCCAGCTGGGTACCTCTGCCAAGGACCACTTCTTAGCTGGAACCGGGGAAAACCTCAGTGCTTCTGCCCCAGTCGCCGTGGCTTGACTGGGGTCCTCCTGGAGCCTCTCATCCTGGAACAGGATAGGGGACTAGCTCTTTTCCCTCCCAGGAATTGGACGATACACAGTCCTGGGAGCTATAGTTGCTGAATCCTTCATGAGCTGGAACAAGATGCTAAGTAGTGAATAGCCCTTTCCACTCCCAGTAACTAGACAACACATGTTCTCTGAGTACAAAAGATTTTAATGAGCCAAACTCAGCCTTTTAAGCACAGACCACAGCAGGGGGTCTCCAAACAATACAATGCAAGCCTCTCCCATGAATATCTGAGCCTGGGAGATAATTGAGTTAAAGACCATTAAGCTAATTGTCTGCCAGGAACAGAGAGCTCAACACAAAGCATAAAAATATAAAAGTATCCCAAAACATCATAAAAACATATAATAACCCCACATGTTACATCCCCAAACAGCCTTGATCTGAGGGCCCAAGTTGTGGCCTACGTGGTCCTAGCCCAAATAGCTCTATGGTGTTTGGTGCTTTTGCCGGTCAACTTTCGGGAGCTCTTAGATTGTTTAACTCCAAATTATTTATTTATTGTGCTTTTACCCACTATACATGGGTGTGAGGGTTATAAATTCTATTAATTTTATAAATTGTTCAAGAATCATTTGGGTCCTAATTTCTGAGCAATTCCAGAATCTTTCAGTGCTATACTTCAGAAATTTGAAATATGATTCAGATATTCTCCATATGAGAGCTCTTTCTAATCAATTTACAAAATATTATTATATTATAATATTATATTATTAAAAACAATTAGACATTTTAAAGTTTTACATACTATTGGGAATAAACAAGTAGGCTAAGATCCCCACAAGTATTAGCAAATGTATCAAAGTATTGATGTTACAATGATGCATCATTATAATATGTTGTGTAGTTGTACAGATTAAATTGACTGATGCAGCTGGGGATTCAAAGCAGTGTTAATATGCATTTTACCAAAATGACTGCTAGAAAATAAATACAGATTGCACAGCATGCGAAAAGTCATTCACCTGCTCAACCAAAGTCTAAACAGTTCTAGCATTTTAATTATAAATATGTCTGCTTTGTGATTAAACAATACACTGTCTTGTCACTTTTCATTTGAAGATATCATTGTATGTTATTTAATTAATAAATCAGCACAAATAGGGTTTTCTACATTGGAAGTATGTGATGTGATCTGGCAAGGTTCATAAAATAAAGTATAATATAATAATGTCAAATCTCCTTTTTCCAATAAAATTGTATAATATAATTATTGTCAGCCCAATATTCTGGATTCATGTAATTCATGTGACCAGGACTGTTATATCATTTTAAAGAAAAGTTAAGTGATTGTAATACTGATATTGATACTTGATGCATATGTAACACTATTGTAAAGTTGACATTAAGAAGGTCACGGCGCCTGTCCAACCCGTCCCTCTTCCACTGTGTCATGTTAAGTTTCTGAAGAAAAAATGTGGAAAAACTCCTAGTGCAATATGCAAGTTCAATATAGTGCAAAATATGGAGTATTGCAAACTGCTCACCTTGTATAGAGCCTGTGGAACTTGGCTCTAAGTATGCAGACCCATGTGTATATAAATGGAACACAAACCTCTCTTTAGAAACTGGACCAAATAGTAGATGGAGTCCACAGAAACAATCTAAAATATCACTATTTATTATAACATATGTATAAAAAAAAACTAATAAACAAAAAACAATTATACAAATATCTGAAATACAATAAAATCAAGTGGAAAATCCTCCAGCAGTCCATTAGAGACGGGTTTTGCCTTTATCAATTAGTATAATATTTAGAGGTCGAGCTTGCAATTTAAATTCATATGGAGAATCTTATTGGTCAATTCATCTGCCAGGCGTCCAATTACAATGTTCCCCGATGATGTCATGTAGTTCAAGCAAATTCGGTTTATCTCAGTTGTAAATTCCTCATCAAATTCCTCATCAAATCTGGTTCTTTGTTGTCCATGTCATAAGAGGGCAGAACATCTGGCAAAAATTGTTTTAACCCCATCTATTTAGTCCATATTGTCCATGTTGTAACCCCATCTGTTTAGTCAACACCAGGTTTGTAAGTTTCCATAATTATCATTAAAAGCATATAAAGCAAAAGAAAAGAGATAACTAAATATATATCAAATATTTGTATGCATAATTTCTATTGCACATACATAAAAAGACAGCCTTATTAATCATTTTATGACATTTTCAACAGTTAAAAGCCAACAAAAACAACAAATTGGCCAAAGTTAGTGTTCATATTTGTTTGTGTGGGAAAAATGCAAAAAACTTATTTGAACAAAAATGTTGGCCAGTATTTGTGACTACGTAGCTGCTAAAAAAGACTGGACATACCCCATTTGCAATACCTTGGGTTGCCTACTTTTGTAAATGATATGCCATCATGGGGGTAATTCTAATTCCTGGGCTACCATACAGTCTCAAAGGCAGCATAACCATTCTGGCAAATTTCATTGTGAAAAAACTGAGATGCAAGCCTTATATTTGACGCCCCATATTCAACTCTGACTGTCAGGATCCTATCCTGACAACCAAGATATTGTTTTATTTTATTCTGTTTTATTACTTCAATACCTGTTTCTCACCACTAGTGGCTGCCCTAGCCACTAGACCAACCTCAGTCACTCTCACTTGTATCTGCTATAAAAGGCCACACCCAACTAAACAAAACTGCATTCACAACGAGAGAAGTTTTTGTTCTGA